TATATATATATATATATATTTATGTAAAAAATGTCTAAACTTAAAATTAGATAAAAGAAAAAAACGAAGATGCTGAATGCAAAAAATACAAGCAACAGTTATGAATTCACGAAAGTGACATTTGATTTCACGGAATCGCACGTGCCTTCGGTGGCTGAACGTATCGACATCTCTCCGTCTACGTGTCAATGTACTCGACGTGCATGAACGTGCCGACTGGTTCTCAACGTGATTGATACAATTGACTGATCCATGAGAAAAGAAGACGCGGGAGCGGTCACGTCCGGGTGTTAGGCATTGCACGTGATTTAACTGCCATGGGGAATTTCGGAGACCCAAACGTCGGGGACAAGACAAGACCGACAAACGTGAGCGATCTGTATCGGAAACTCACGTTTTCGCCGATTATTCGCTTATTGGCGTTTTCGTAAGGGTCCGCTTCGCGCGTTCACGATAAGCGTGCGATACGAGCGATACGAGCGATATCGTGCGTGCGATGCGTGCGTGCAATAAGTACATACGTGCGTGCGCCCGTGTAACCGTTGCCAGTTGTGGCACGTTCGGGACAAACGTGACGCCAGGCACGAAAAGAAATACCCAGCGATACTGATAAGAAGCCGATTACGTCGACGGTTTGGCTGACGGATGTGCGTCGATGGACGGTTAAACATAATTCTTGGAACGTCGTGACTTCGTGGCTTCAATGGCCGCTTAAGTTGTCTGTTCATAGAAACGTGGGATAAAAATCGCAGCGTCGTCAGAAAAACGCCCTGATGAGAAGCACTGAGAAAAAAGATTGTTCATCACTTTCAAATTTATTTTATTTTATTTGTCTTTATTTCTTTTGCTGAAGAATGTAAGCATCCAGAAAACACGAAGTGCCCAAAATTGAGACATAAGATACCTTTGGCATCTAAAAAAAGTCTTAAAGACGTCTTATTTTGGATTTTGTTCAATTATGCATTTAAGTAAGATATGTTCCATTTAAATAATTCTTATCAAAAGAAGTAAAAAGCTACAGTTGCTTACTATTTACTGGGGCAATCTGAGACTTTTGAGAAGATACTTTTGCGGCAGCAAGTTTTTTTTCTTCGCGAACCGTTTTATGTTTCCTATCGACTTGTCAGAGAACACAGTCACACCTGTTGTATTTTTATTCAGGAATTTTTATGCTTTAACGTTAAAATAAAGTGAGAAAGAAAATGCTGAATAACGACGCAAAGGAGGGAAAAAGTCGGCCCGTGCGATAGCTGAGACGATCAGTGCAACGCAAATTGACATTTCTAAAGGAGGTTCAAACTGCTCCCTCTGACCTTTCGGCGCGCATCATTAATGAAGCAGATATCTAATTTTATAGTGCGTGATACGGCAGCAATAATGCCGTTTTATCGTCGGCTATTTATGGTCGCACGGAATATGGTTTCTCACGGAGAGTTAATCTTTGCGACCTCCAAGGCGAATGTAGTAGTCTACATCACAACGCTACATAAACAACAGTTTTATGTGCAGCTCTCTGACACATGTTATTTTCTTTAAATAAATAGATATGCAATAGATATACAATTTTTTTTATAAACATAGAGTGCAAAAAACAGACATCTTTTTCAGACGAAAACCATCTCGTTATAAAAAATTCTTTTCAGTACTTTAAGATACTTATTAGCATCATTATTAGATTGATGATTAATTCAATTCGTGATATTACTATTTCAGTTTTAATTTAGGACTGCGTTTTTAAAACCGGCTGAGTTCAAAGTAGTGCAATTTAAAGTATTGCATAAGAAAAATGTCTGGTTGAAAATAAACGACCAGAAGATTCTGATTATGTCAATCAATTTTAATTATTTTAATAAGAATTTTATAGATTTAAGATTTCTGAGAAGTCGCCGTGATCATATTGTGACGTCATAAGCGAGAAATGACGCATTAAAGTGTGTTGCGCTTGTAAATAAAGAAAACGAAATAATGAGATCGCTTTAACACTTGTAAAAATAGGCCGAAGCTGTCGTTATCTTTCCTGACAGTCAATAAATATAGTCGTAAAAGACACGTGAAGTACATTTACTAGCGTTTGCAAATACGCATGCGTAGCCTATTTTCACTTCAAGTATCTTTTAACTATTCAAGAGCTTTAACCAGAAAATTCTGATTTATCCATATTTTCAATCACACGGAATTTCAATTAACCAGACATTTTTTTCAGTGAAAAATGTACATATTTTAAAAAATTATAGAAACCCATACAGCACATCCAGAATTTGCAGCAATATCGTTGCAAAATCTCTGCAATATTGTAACATGCAATGTGCAAAGTGTTACTGCAACTTTGTACTGTATGGGAATATTATTAAGCACCAAACTCTATATATCTTCAACCGCATTTGGCACTTCTTTACCTAATTACTAACACTAAAACATTCGTTTAAAAATGCCCATTAACTTTTAATTTCATTCATTGATTTTCGTGGATTATTTTATCGCAAATTTCTATTTTCAAACTTATGTTTTAAATATACCTATATGTACACACACAAACATATATTTAAACATGTTTTTTATTTTAGTATTATTTAAGAAATTTAAAAAATTTAATAGTGAACATTAAATAAAAAATGAGTCGCACACAATTGCGACTCATCGTTTACTATTAGAATTAGAAGTATTTTTTTTTTAACATGACATTGAGTGGCAGCTTATTATCGTTTGTTGAATAAGTGAACACGTGGCAGTAAGATATCGCCTACTCGCAGCGACCGTACCTACTTTCGAAAACTAAATCGCGATCATTCTACCGCGAGCGACCTCGTACTGTGGCTGTCACGTAAGAACCGGATTTCGTACTCCAGACGCGTATTTAGGGCGGAAGTGCAAGTCTGGCAACAGTTTTAACTGGTGGTCACGGCTCTGTCACTCGATTCCTTTTACAGACTGGCCACGTTGAGAGCGTGCGATAATCTATCAATGGAACGAACGTTCCACTTTGCTTATTTTTCATCACGACCATGTTAATTTGTTTCAAATTCAATGAAACATTAAATGTTATTAAGTCTTAAGAAAATGAGTGTCGTTTGGCAAAAGTGATTTTTGCTAAATTTATGTGAACCAAATTAGATAATTCTATTATAATATTTTAAATAAAGAAGTTAAAGATTGTTGAGAAATATGAATAAAAGGATGTGCGCCTAAAGTTTCTTCTAATTATAAGAATTTTATTATCTTGATTGAGGATATAATAATAATAATAATAATAATAATAATAATAATAATAATACACGGAGAGAATGTTTTCTTAGAATTTACCCTGAAAGTATAACAGTCGTGGAACATTGTATCTCGAAGAATTTTAATCTCTTTCATTCATTAATAAAACTACAATAAAGTATAAAATAAGTTGCAAAAGTATTTTCGCAATTTAATAAAATGCTAATATCAGAAATTATTCGCGAATAATTTGATCAATTTTACTGAAGTGCATGGTAAAAATCTTTAAAATATTGTATTGTATCACAACTACCATATTTTCAGAGTAAATTTTAAAAGAAAATCCTCTTCGTGTAATAATAATAAAAATACCAGCGAGAAATAACTCATCGACTGGATGTCAAATCAATACTAAGTATATATTGATACAGAAGATAATTTCGATGTTAACTAGACGTCAATTTAACATTTAATCGACAATTTTTACTGAAAATGTATTATAGGAAAAAAAATTATAAATTTTAATAATTATAATACCTAGTCGATGTATGCAAAAGGTAAGATGATTGAGATATTATTGAAAAGAAGAAAAAAAGAGGTAGATAAAATCGAATATGAAGCAATAGATTAAAATATTTTATAGCACTACATTTATAGGATGAAAGGGAAGAGAATATTTTTCATAAATTCTAGAATAGAAATTTTATAAATTTTAAAATAAATGTTTTTATTATAGATATAGATAGTTAAATGTATATCGTTTATCTGCATCACATGTTTACTAATTAACTAACGTTGCTCCTTTTTGTATCATATATCTTACACTTAATTGCACTAGGAACTATCGCAGCTGTTATCGTCGCTAATTGCGATAATCATTGTTAATTGTGTGACCTGGACGTCTTTTACGACGCGCTTGTCGTACTCGCTAGTGCAAATATATCCTTCTAGAAAGAAATTTAAGTCGCAGAACTTCTAATTTTTGTCTGAAGAAAAGTGATGCTAAAAAGTGATTGTAATTATTGCAATTTTAATTTTTCGAAAATATAGAGAGAAGATCGGTAATGTATTACTCTTATTGTTAAGATATTATATATTAGTACAAGATATAATAGAATAGAGAATAGTGATAACAAATGATTGACAGACAATCGAATGCAGGAATATTTTGCAATTTAATAAAACACTGATATCAGAAATTATTCGCAAGTAATTTGCAATATTTTTCAGTATTCTACACTTGATAAAAAAAAAATACTTGCACTTTATCATGTTGAAATAATTTTATGCATTGCAGAAAAAAATGTCACTACCATGTGTTTCATCAGATTATTGTGTTTCATCAATTATTCATAATAAATGATGGCGAGTGATTACAAATTTACAATTTTTTCAGAAATTCTACAGTTGATAAAAAAAGAACACAATTTCACTAATTGTTTAAAAAAGAATACTTGCTTATTGTGCTTGGAATAATTTGAAGCAACATAAAAAAAAATCTCTGTCATGTGTTTTTTCAGAATACATTGTCTTTCATTTGTGCTAGTCAACTATAGTGTATTTAATTATACAAGGTGCAGGTACTAATATAAAATCATATTTCTTTTTTATATAAAAATTACTTTGTCCATCGTGTATCTCTAGAACTAAAGTACAACAAAAGGAAAGGTACTCATTGGGAAGAAGTTAACGTCATTAATGCCGATCAGGTTTCAGTTTTTCCGCAACCATGTCCTAGTCTTTCGTTGTTGCGGTCCACCGCTGCAGGTCGTTGGAAACTGCGGGAGGAAAGGAAGGCAATCATGAGAATCGTGACGGTGCACCGCGAGAAGAGCGCTCTATACTATACGGAGCACGGAGCGAGCAGGAGCAGGTAGGTGGGGGCTGAGGGGGAGGTGAGGGGGAGAACGTTCGGACCGCGTTACATTCCACGTGATCGAGAGAAGGGCACGCCTCGGCCGCGCGGAGTCACGCGCGCGACCACGCGTTCACCCTTCCCGACACGTGCACGCCACTACACGCAATGTGTACACGACGGTGGTGGTGGCGATCGGCTACGTTCTGCCGATACACGACGGCGGAATGGTGCTGCCCGATGACATCGTCACCGGTGCGGTTTATTGCGCAAATTGCGGCACGCCGAGATCGCCCGTCCCGCCACGTCTCCCGCTGTTTCACTCGCGTGGACTTGCATAATACGGGAAAGTAGATGGAAAATAGTCCGGGCTGCGAGATGGCCTCGTGTACGTTTTTCCATCGGTCGGACGCGAGCACGAAAGAATATTACGAAAGAATAAGAATTACGGGGCGTCGTAAACCTCTTTAAAGAGTACTATACTTCATTTGTGGTACCACGATTACTGCGCTGTAAAAAAAGAACAGGTGTGAGATATCGTTATGTAAAGTTATACAATATAAAGTCGCTATTAGAAAATTAGTACTAATTGGAAATTTGCCTCAAATTCATTATATTCAGCCGTCATTATGTACAATGTCTTGAAAAAGAGTGCTTCAATTTTTAGTCTTTAAAGCTGAGATTTTACTTTTTAGAGTGAGCTTTCACTCTAAAAGTTTTAGAGAGTAAGAATACCAGCCTATACAGCACAGAATTTGTAGCAATATCGTTGCAATATTGCTGCAATATTTTGTGCTGGGGAGATGCAATGACAGCTGAATATAATTTGAGGCAAATTTATAATTAGTAGTAAATTATTATTTCTAATAGCGACTTTATGTTAGACTAATAATGGTTGAAGGTTCTGTTGACTTAAATCAATAATTATTCAATAATTTAATTTATATTAGCTTATAAAATTTGAGGTCAATTCTGAAGCCAATTGGTCACAAATACCATCATTATTTTAAACGACTAAGCATCCTTGAAATTGATTCATCTAATCTTTCACATCATACAATAAATTTTTCAAGCGTGTTGATTGATTACGAAGTAGAAAAGTTCTCTAGTCTTCAGAAATTTTTTGACAACTTTTTGAGGGATATTGATTAGAGGACTGTGTTTTCCATTTGGTGCTCACAGCGTTCGTGAATTTATCCTTGTTTAATATTTGATAAACAAAGCTGAAATGATTCTAGAAGTGCTGTGTCAAATGGAACGCTGCCAAGATAAAAATTTTTGAAGACTAGAGAACTTTTGAATTGTGTAATCAATCAACTTGCTTGAAACATTTGTGCGACAGATGTATGACAAGTTTTTTATATAACACGAGGCACGTGAATTAATGATCCAATAGATTACATTTCATTTACTTGCTACAATTACAAAATTTTTTAGTTGCTTGTGAAAAAAGTAGAAATATAAAAAAAACCTATTATTAGATTATTTCTTTATAATCGGTTACAATGTTATTAAAATTACATTTAAAGTTAATATAAAATTTTAATAATTCAAAACATTCAAACTTATTTTCTAGAAAACTTTATCTTTTAATCATCATTTTTGAACGGAACGTTGTTGATGATAAAATCGATTGATAAATAATAAAGAATGATCACGAGTTAATAAATCTACATAACTTATTTTAAATCATATAATAAACAAGACAGAATTTTTTGGTGTGCAAAAACCAACATTTTATAAAGGATACCTTTTCTGGGTATTTTATAAATATTTTTTTTCTTTTAATCACAGACGCAATTTATTTCAAATTCATGCACATCATTACATGAAATAATAATCTCTCTTCGTGGAATTATTATTAAAGTTGGGGAAAAAAGATCTCTTCAAAGAAAGAAGTTGTTTATAAAAAAAAACTGACCTACATCGTAATAATGTTTTTTCCACTGCTCTCTCGCCAGCTTCTCTTTTTCTCGCATTTTTTCCTCTGCTCTCTGTCTCAGCGTCGGAATGCAACGCAGGTATTTAACGAGGACGCGATACGCAACGACAGTGTGTTCCGTACCTGTCGCGCATCGAGCGAGCGAACGCTCGGAATTGCAAAGCGCACCTTGCTCCACCGAAGAGATCGACACGGATTCCGTTGTTGCTGTGGAGAAGGGGGAAGAATGCCTGTTTGCGCTGCATTTAGCTACGGCACGCTTTTGCCCTCGAGTAAATTGATCCAGCCCTTTCCTTCCTGAGAAACACGCAAGATATATACCATATCTCTCCTCACACAATTCGATCGTCATAAATAATCAATTACTTTTTTATTACCACTATTATTATCATTGTCACGGAGGAATTAGAGAAAGAATTAGATTAATATTTTTATAAAGTATTTTATAAATATATTTTTATATCTTATAAAAATCATATTAACTATGATGACATTTTGTATTATTATCGTTATTACACTGAGAAGGAAGTGTTTGATATTTATGATTATAATTGCAAGATAAATAATTTTGGTCGAGTTCTTAATTTTTATAATTGTTATTGCTTCTTACTATTAGGTGTTGGAATTAATTCGTAGCGTTTTACAAGTGATGGGAAGTACTTTCATTAATGTATTTTTAATGCTCATGTGAAATAAATAACATTCTTTCATTAAAAAACGCTACGAATTAATTCCAACACCTAATATAATAATAATTATTATTATATTTATGTTGATATCGATAATAACTTTAAATTATGGTTAAATTTTAGTAATTGTAAGTATTTTTTTTTTCAGTGTATAGATTTATATAAATATTTATTCCACATTAGTGAAATTTTAATTTAATTGGATATTTTTTTTAAATGCAAAGGTACTTGCAGTAAAAGGATTTTCAGAAATACGTAGTCACGTGGAGGAATTGAGGAAACTTGTTTTGTGCACCCGAGAAAGCCGATCGACCAAATTTTCGTAGGCGCTTGTCAAGTTCCACGCGATTAAGCAGGCCGCCTGCGGCGGCGAGATTAAAGCTCGAGAGCAATTAACAGCAAGTCGATAAAAAGGGTGGTCACGGCTAACGTGGCACGTGCGGCTTTTTCGTTTCTGTTTCGAAAGCGTCGGCCACGTAAGGGACAACACACGCCGGACTAGAAAGCGCCGGTATTTTGTTGGGATTATGTAAACTAAGCCCCGCTCTCACAGGAGGATGGCCATTTAAAGGTGACACGATGAATAATCGCGGAAGAACCATTATGTCACGCATCCCTTCTGCGTAAATAATTTCGCCCATTCACCGAGTTGTTACGTTTTGCGCATTTTTTCTTGAATAGTCGATAAGGTCTCAGATCAAAGATTCTTGATATTGATGCGATATTGATGATTTATTTATAGCGTTATTTGTGGCACAAAATTTCGCTGTTATCGTCGCTTTAGGAAAGCTGGGGCGATAAAGCGAAAGTAGATTGCCCTGAAAAACGAAGAGGGGTAATTGATGTCTCTCTGTTAATTAATTCAAATCAGTGCAAAGTGTTTGCTTTAGATATGTGATTAAGAATTAATATTATCGAAGAAAACTTAGAAACTTTGAGTAAAAATCCAATAAAAATCAATTTTTTATCTGTCCCTGAAAATTTTTTACTCAGATGAGTGTCTAAAGAGGGGGGAGAGTTTTTTCTAGTTAGATTAAATTCGCTCTGAAATTCATGATTAGAGTTATAATTGATAAAAGCTAATATTTTTTTCATTCAAAATTAGGAGAAGTAAACAGTTCTAAGTTCTAGAAAAAGTTCTAGAAAAATTCATTAACGTCAAAAATTGTTGTTTATGTGATCGAATTAACAAACTATCCTCTCCAAAAGAAATTCTAGATACATTTATGTTTGAATGTATATTTTTTTTGGACGTCTAATGTCATATTATTATTCTAGAATTAAATTTTTCATTCAAAATTTTTGTGTAAAGAAAGATAGTTGCAAACAATCAAAATGTACAATGTTTAAGTGGCGATCGTCATGGATATATTATCTATTTTCGATATTTATAAAGATAAAAAATATATTAAATAATATCGAAATAACATAGATATTAAATGTTTTATCGATGACATCAGGGAACATAAATTTTATATCTTTTTTCAGGATTTTGATAAACAATGTTTTTGCTATAAAAAATTTATTTTTTATTCAATTTTTCAATTTATAACAAAAAATAATTATATTTTTATTTAGTATACGTGATCGGCATATCTTGTGATCGAATATAAAACGACTCTCATCGTGAGTGCAGCAAATTCTCTGCAGCAATACAGCAGATTCCTTCCTTTTCTTATTTCCGTTAAAAAAATAGCCCTTGCGAAAATTAAAATTGAATTGATTATGCGATCGAATGAATTATACGAACTCCTTTCTTCTCCTATTTTTCTCTTCTTTCTCGCTTCTCGCTGCATCGAATCGACAAAGAATTCGAGACCGATGACGGATTTAGCGCGGGAATTTGATATAAGTGGAAAGAGGCGATCTCTCTTAGTCGCGACAAAGTAGATAAGTACGAACTTGACGTACGCAAATGTAACACGAACGTAAGGCGCGCGACCGGCGCGGCGCGAAAATAGCCGGACTTATCCTGTGCACGACGCGAATGAAAATAAACGTGATCTGTGGCAACTACGGGTTATTCTTGATCCGGCCTCGCCTATTACGCGCGACGCACGCGTCCACCTTTAATTCAATTCGCTGACGAATAGTCAACCCTTCCGGTCCGATTATAAACGGATCTTTGCGAGGAAAAAATTCGCGACGCTCATAAATGACGTTCCAATATTCCTGTAATTCGAGGAATTATATAGCGAGGAATTTTCATATCTCTCACATTCGCTCTTATAAATGAGTCCTTACATGGTACATATTTTCACAAGCTTTAGTAAAAAGTATATATGATATTATATATTAGGTGTTGGAATTAATTCGTAGCGTTTTTAAATGAAAGAATGTTATTTATTTCACATGAGCATTAAAAAATACATTAATGAAAGTACTTCCCATCACTTGTAAAACGCTACGAATTAATTCCAACACCTAATATTAAGCACCAAGATTCGCTTGAACTGAAATCAGAATTATTTTTCTTATTTGATTTATTCTTATCGATCTAAATTTTATTTAATTGATTAGTTAAAAACTTATAGAGAATTACTATACATTGAAAAGTTCAAAAAAAGAAATTGTTGCTATAATATCTTATTAATAAAAATTAAAATAAAATATTTTAACAATAAAGCTTTTGAATGCCTCTTTTTTTAGAAATTTAAGAAGGTTTGGGATATTGTAAATGAACGATCAACGTGTATCATTTAACAATAGACAGATATTAAATTATATAATATGAACGCATTTTTTTATGACACGATATCCCGTTTACTGCTTACAAGGATTTTTTTTTTATTTGTCTGTGCATGGTGCAACTATTTTCGCGTTTAAACGATCTTCACCGGACGCCTCTCGGCTCTCGCTTCGCGCTTTCCTCGACGTTGACACGTTCGCGAGCAGCTGTTGAACCTGTAGTTCCGGATCCTGCTTGTGAGACGAGCCAATTTAAATTCCTTCGTCGGCGCTCGACGAAGGCCCTCCTCTTTGCGCCGACCGGAATGAAATTATGCACTGCTTAAACAGCGACCGTTTAAGCGCTGTCGTCGTCGTCTCGGGCTACGTGCTTTTTTAGCTACGATAAATATCAACGTGCCTTTAAATCGGGACAGTGACATTCCTCTAACGATTCTCTCGAATATCGATGATAATATATTGAATGGCACTCAAAATGAAAAATTGCAAGCGTTAAATTGCAGTGAAACAAATTATTCGATATTTGACGATGAGAATGTGTCAGTTAAGAGAGAAACTCTACTTTTAGTCAAAGCAAATCTTAGATCAGTGCTTAATCATACTAACATGTAAATTTTTGCAAATACATTTCTTCAATTTTACAAATTGCGCATTGACTTAATTTGTCGGACTTGAAATGCAGTTATAAACTGAAGTTGAAATATAAATATCACAAATTAAATTGATCAACTTTAATAACGATATTAAGTATATTAAAAACTGTAAATAATTTATTTTATTGCGAAAAATATTATTTCAGTAGTTAAACGAGTAACTGAGATTATTGAACAAAACCTGTTTATCTCATTATAAATTGCAAAACTTTATCGAAAGATTCAATTTTAACCTTTAAGTAGATAGGTGATTACCATATATATAATTATTTTATAAAAACCTTGTTCTGAAGAAGGAAAATAAAAAGTATTAAAGTTCAAAAGTCTTAAAATTTGTTATTTTTACATTCCTCTGTTTCATAAAAATGTAAATTTACTTTATAAACTTTATAAACACTAAAAAAAAATATAATTATATTAGGTGCGCAACTAAGTTCTCGCTGTTATTTTGATG